AATTAACCCAACAGCCCCAGGGGATCGATGTGGTGGGTGCTGCTGATTGACCATTAACATTTATTTCCCTTTCTTTTACAATAGAGTGCCTGAATTTTGCCAATCACATGATCACCCAATCAGTGACTACATTTCCTAGTTTGCTGTCTAGCCAGGCATGGTGCCTGAGTTGTGGCAATGGAATGTGGGCAGAAACTAAGTGTGCCATTTCCAGCCGGGCCCTGGAGGGGTTGTACTCCATGTATTCCTTTGTGCCCATTCCTACATCTGGCATGCAGCTATGACCATGTGAGCTGCAGCAGCTACCACGGACTTGGAGATGGAAGCCTCGAGTTCTGGATGACAGGCTTACACCTGTCCCTGCACCATCTATGCTGAGACATTTTGTGTGGGAGAAATAAACTTCGAGTTTGTTTAAACTGTTTTATTTTTCTATTTTTGTTGTTGCTGTTCCTTTTGTTACAGCAGCTTAGGTTATAACGCAACAGAAATTGTTGCTATCTCTGTTTTATAAAAGAGAAAGGGAAGCTTAGACTAAGTGACAGAGGGCACAGTTTCTAAAAGCCCCTGGTGGGATTCAACCCAAGGCACTCTGATGCCAGCACTGGGACTTTTAACCTTGAGGTGTGCTGTTTTGTTTCTTAAAGCTCCACTGGTCTGTGATCTGGGTTAATGTGAAAAAGGAGAGGAGAGAGACATTCCTGTCCCACCCCTCCTAGATGACCGTCTTCAGCTGTGACTTGCAAGCATATATATTTTATTGCTATTCACTTCTCCATGGATGCCCAGCTATGGGCCATATGGAATGTGTTGGTTTGCCTAGAAGGTTTTGGTCATCTTGGGGGTTTTCAGGAGTAAAAGAACCTTTCTGCACCCAGGATCAAACACAGGTGCAATACTTACTACCACACACAAGGGAGACATCAAAATCATCCGAAACAGAAATACTGTCAAGCCAGATGCAAGATCTCTCCTTAAACATGACCAGTTTACACTGACCTTGTAAGATGCAAGCCAAGCAGAGAGAAAATTGGTAAACAGCAAGAGTCAAGGCCAAAGTCAAATACAAAGACCAAAGTACCTGGGCAAACTTTCAAATGGTTTCACCCCAGTTGTAAACACTTGTTTGCTATTCCAGTTCAACTTAAGCCACCTTCATTAACAAAGTTGGACTTTCAAGGAAAAATGGAAGAAATCTCTTCAGAGCTCTGTGCTCAAGGGTGGATCATATAATACTTCTTCCTGGCACGGTACCCAATACCTGTCCACTGTTTACAATTCACTTGGCTGGCCTTTTCCTCCAGGAAGTCTGCCGCTGCTCTCAAGTTTAGGCTAGGTGACTTTCAAAGGTGTCATGAGAGCCATTGTACGTCCCTCTCTTAGGACTCTTCATGCAGTGACATTGTTCTACTGCATGCCTGCTTCTGTCTTTCACTTCTGTATGCCAAGAGGGAGGCAGACAGGGAACTAGGACATGGAAGATGATCAGATGAACCCTGTGAGGCTGAGTGAAGGCTGACCCTGAGCGATGGTCTCCATTCTGAAGAATCAAAAGACACACGCAGCTTATCAAATCTAACTACTCACATATCTTTCAAATCCCAGTGACAGTGCAAGAGGCTTCTTGTGCTGCAGGGAACATCTGACAGTGGGTCACAAGAGCCTTAATGAGTTCAAATAATTTGAACCAAAACTGCTCTTGGCAACAGATCTTAAAGAAATACATATGAACACAGAGGAAGCATAACACTATGCACTACTGTTTTGAGTGTTTTCAGTAAAGAAATAAATAATTAAAGAAAGAGACATTGGATTGCAAATTGTACAGCCATGGGGGGGGGATCACATTTTTGGATGAATACTTAATGAACTGGAAAAATTCTATCCTATAGTGTTAAGAGAAAAAAGCAATACACAAGATTATATAATCAATAGGCTCCATTATAAATCTCTTTTCTACCTTCCCACATATATGTAAGACAAAAAATATTGGTAAGAAAGATACCCATTGCCATCTATGAATAACTATGTGATAAATTTCTGTGAAATCTCTATTAAAGTACACATTACTTTTAAAATTAAAAAAAGGAAGTGAGGATTAAAGTACATTGCAGTTCTTGTTTTTGTGTTTCCTTTTTTTAAGCTCTCAAATTAGTAGCGTGGTAAATGGGGTTGTGGGATAAAAGTGCAATGTGTTTAGTTTGTTTGGTTTCTTCCTTCTCTTTAGGATTGTTCCAGCTGTGGCTATAACCAGATACCATGGGACTCTGGGCTGGCTCCTTCTTAGTAATTAAATATTCTAAGGCAGGGATGATATTGTAAAGCAAAACAGGCAGAACAGAGGGCAAAGGTCAGTTTCATGTAGAAAAGGAGCCATTTTTAAATGTAATCCTCACTTTCTTCTCTTGCCTACCCCAGTTGGGTGGACATGGGGTTGCAACACACAGGGTGTCTCCTTCTTCCTTCAAAGTAATGGCTCCTCCTGAGTTGTAATAAATCTCTTTTTACGGCCTTTTTTTTTCCCTCCCTTCTGCTTACCCCTGCATTCACAAGGTCATATTGAAGAGAATTCAACTGAAATATGTAGAAGGTTCTCAGTCTACCAGAGAGCAGGTGAAATAAAAATATAAGTAAATAATATTGAATGCTTGCTATATGCATCATTCACCAAAAGCTGTAGTTAGTTCACTCCTCCATCCTTTCTTCCAGGACTAATGAAAGAAAATTGATCTTTCCAGCATTTTCTCTTGAACATTTCAGTTTGGTTTTAGAGTTGGTGATATCAGGATTGCATCACTATGTTTTTGTGCCAGACATTTTATCTGGTTAAGCTCCAAACAACCAGAAAGTAGTTTTTCTAAGTAATAACTTTATTTAGTAGCAACAACATATTTTTTTGAACAAAATATTAAAACTTGGTACCAAATTTGTTTACAGAACTAATCACTTGGAATTATCTCTAGGAGTCAAATAAATCAGGTTTCAAGCATTTTAAAACTAGGGCTGATTTTTAGCAAGGTTTTAACTTAAAGAATATTTAAATTATAACCATAAAACTAATGAATAGAAGTTCTACCTATGTCACTAGTAAAAGTTCTTAGTCATTGCTTGTAAATACACATTTTATTTTAAAATTCAAGATACAATAAGATCAGAGCCCAATTTTGTTTCTCCATTTTTGTTTCTCTGAGAGTAATTCTTCACGAATCCAATCCAATAGTAACAGAAACAGAAGGAAGAAGGAGAAGGAGGAGGAAAAGGAGAAGGAGAAGGAGAAGGAGAAGGAGAAGGGTGGCAGGGAAGAAGAGGAAAAAGAGTCACTGGAACAAATAAAATAGTACAAGGTTCACACAAAGAATAAAGTTTAGTGTGTGATTTGAGTTTTTTTAAAACGACTTTGTTAATATTTATCCTAGCTGAGGAAGTAATGATTTGTTTGATTCTTGCAGCATTTACTTATTTAACAAGCCCTGAACTCTGGACATGGACATGTACAAATAGGGCTAGAATTTTGGCTTTATCCTTTAAAATTGTGTAAATTTGGGCAAGTCATTTATATAACTTCCCTGTACGTGTTTGCTCAGCTGAAAATGGAAGATAATATTATTATTTAACTTACCATGTTAGATAAGCAAATTTTTTCAAAACAATTTCAAATTGTCCCTGACATGTAAGTGTTCAATAAATTCTAGAGGCAGCAGCCTGCTCTTTATGGATTTTACAGATTAGAGGCCATATGGATGGAGTGAGTAGCAAAAGACATCCATTAAAATTATACAGGTCACAACTTTACAACTGTTCCAAGTGTAACACAGGAAAAATGTAGAATGGTAATAAATAGCATTCTGTGGGCTGGTTTCCCACAGAATTGCACAAGTTAAGCTTTCACTATTGAGATTGTTGTACACTTTTGTAAGATCAAGAACACCTGAAATTTTTATTGTATGTGATTGGACAGAAAAGAAATCAAATGTAAAAGCTCAGAACGCTTAATACGAAGATGATGGTACACTCCTATACATCAAGGCGTTTGGAGATTAAATCCTAGTTCCTCAGTAGGAGAAAACATTCCATTGTTTGATTAAAATGACAAGCAAGTCGGGAACTACCTGAAGATTACATATAGTATCAAATATTTTATTTTGCAACGTGGATTTTTAGAGACACCAGTTTTTCTGAATTTCTACTTGTGTGTGAGAAAAATTGGGGGAAGCACATCCCTGCCTGCTTTAAAGAAGCTGATTTTGGCATAGAAAGTGGACCACATTTTTCCATGCATGTTTCTCCATGTAAGATATTTCTTTCAATAAAAGGGGAAATCCACATGTATCTATAGTAAGATAAAATTTCAAAGTGCTTATGTTAAATAATTGGTAAAGAGCTCGATAAATGATAATCCATGAATTATAAAAAGAGAAAAAAAGGAAAGAAAAAAGAAAGCATCTGTTCATCTTTCAGTAGCAAATACTTGTAAGTTAGATAAAGCACAATTTAATTTTGAAAAGATGTAAAAAGAATTAAGATGTGTTGTGCACATTCACCAACTAACTTCCTATAATGAATGTAATTATTATGTACTGCAACTATGTACTGATAAAAATTTAAAAATAAACTAAAAGGCGTACAAAGTTAGAACGACTAACTGAGCAAGTCAAGCTGAAAGCCTAAAGTGAGTAATGTAATAAAAATCGAGCACAGAGAATTTGCGTCGAGCAATTCACCAGGACCCCTCAAATGCTGAGGGAGTGCAGGGGCAGGCGCCCACTTGTTAGGTGGCCCTTGTCACTCCCCTCCCTATCCTTCTCCCCATTCCTGGGGTCCGCCTTTCCCGCTCCTCGCCCTCCAATCCCATTTCGCCTAGCCCTCGGTCGACCAATCAGAAGGCAGCTTTACCCAGGAGGGCCGGGCGGAGGGCGGTGCTGATTGGCAGAGTTTGAAGTCGCCTACTTCAGGCACTGGGCCCTAGTCGCGGTTGTCCGCGGAGGGTGGAGAAGCGCGAGCCGAGGTCCCCTGTCACGTTCTGAGGCTATTGTCGGACACCATGGCGGACAGCCGAGATCCAGCCAGCGACCAGATGAAGCACTGGAAGGAGGAGCGGGCCGCGCAGGTATAGTGCGTGCCCGCGCAGGAAGTCGGACTGCGGCGAGTAACGGCTCCGGGTCCTGACGCCCCGGGCTCCGGGCGGTACCACCGGTGGCAGGCGCGCGGGGGGGGGGTGGTTTGTGTGGCGTTTTAGGTCGCAGTGGCGATGGACGGTCGCATTCGCGGGGAGGGGGTTCTGGGCGTGGCGCGGCGGGGCTGCAGGATTCGTCGCTGGATGGTGCCCTAGGGAGGCTGGCTCCCTGTTTTGCATTTGTGCCAGCTGGGACAGAGGTCACACCTTGGGCACGAATGAGCTAAGAAGCCCAGAGAGGCGGCTAAAGAGAGGAAGTGAAGGGGGAGAGGAACCAAGTCAGACCTTTAACTTGCCTGTTTTCGTGCTTGTGGGTTCCTGGGGTGTTTAATTAATCTTGACCCAAGCAAAGATCAGCGGTGACACTTGTAGTAGTACAACATTAAACGACTGAATAAAAAGAATTTTTAAATCTGTTGTTCTATTCTATACGTCAGGCCTAGCATGTCAGAGCTTGCAGCGATTGACAGTAGGGATTGATTATTGGACAGATCCGCAGCGTTCTCTGAGTGCCAGCATGTGCCAGGAGCCGCTGGCCCGGTTCATAATTGCAACAAGACGAGAGCCACGCTGTGAGGAGTTCGATTAGCCTGGGACACGAGTTACATAAACAGATGATTATCAGTCCTGCGCGAGGCTCAAAAACAGATAACCTCTGTAGGGTAAAGGGCGCCCCCGAGTTGGCGGCCAGGCTCCCCAAAGCAAGTCGCATCCGAATCTTTAAAGATGTGGGAGTCGCAATCCCAGGTGGCATGGAAGGCATTCCTGGCCGGTGCCCAAGGGGCGAAGTCTCAAAGGGCATCTTTGAGGAGGTGGGGTTAAACGAGCCTGCATCTGATTGGCGTCTCCTTTGGGCAGATTGGACCAGAATGTCGTGCCTGGTTCCTATGCAAAGAGAGGACTAGCCAGGCTTTGCCTGGTCCTACCTAGTTCTGTTTTCTCAAAACTAGGACAGGGTGGGGTGGGGGATCCATGGCAAGTGTTCAAGTCTTGTCTCTATCCTTTGTTTTAGAGCACTTTTTCCTAAGTTCTTACTGTGAACCCAAGACACTTAGAGCCTTAGAGCAGAGTTTAAGATTAGAACTGTGTTACTTGAGGCCGAGACTGGCAGCCTGTCTGGTGCCTGCTAAATCCTGACTCAAACTCAAGTTTTCATATACTTGTTGAATTGGGAAAAATAGGGGCCTCGTAGTGATATTTTTATAAAATAAGAAGTGTATTTGTTTCTAGAACACTCACCTTTATTCTGAGACAAGCTTGCCTCTTGTTTGGGACAGTTGTTAACTGCTGAATCATGACATCCCTGCTGTTGATTTCCCTGAGGTCATTGCCCTTATGAGAAAGAGCTGGCCCAGAAAGCACATCTATAATTGGGGGAAATACTGGCATCCCCTTTGCCCATGATGTCCAGTGCGCTCTGTGTAGTATCCTGATTGGCAGGTACATCGATGTCTTGTTCTTCAACTTTTACTATTCTGAATGAAAATTGCTTTTTTGGGGGGTAGGGGAGATGATCCCTTTACCCTTAAAAAGGAATTTTGCTCATAACACATAGCCTATGTAATTGTCAAATATTTTATTGTGAAAATATTCAAACATTAAGAAAAGTCAAAATATTGTTCAGTGTACACCTATATATACATATCATCTAGATTCTGTCTTTGTGTCTTTAATAACTATTAGCTTTTTAAATTAATAGGATCTCAGGGTAAATTGCACAGATTAGTATACTTTATAAACAGTGAGCATGCAAATTAAGAGATCACCGTGCATTTATGTTTTTAAGATGATATTTCTATATAGTGAAATTTACAAATATTAGGTGCACTACTCCATGGATTTTAATAAATATGTAGACTATTAAGTTATAAACCCTTACCAAGATAAGGAAGATAATTACCCTGGAAAGTTCCTTCATAATGTATTTTAGTCATTCCCTGCAAATTCCTGCAGTCTTTCCCCACAAACTATTGTTTTGAAATTTTAAAACCATTAATATATGCATTTTTTTGCAAAAGAAAATTTATTTATTTATTTATTTATCTATTTATCTATTTATTTATTTATCTATTTATTTCTTTCATTCAGCAAAAATATTTTAAGATTCATTCATGCTGCATGTATCAGGGGTTAGTTCTTTTTATTGCTGAGTAGTATTATATGAATATAATTCCATTTGTTTGTCTTGTTGATGAATAGCAGTGATTTCTAGTTTTTGGCTATTATGAATAAAATTGTTAAGAATATTATTCCAATCTTTTTATGTTTTCCTGCTTTCAATTTGCCTGGCAAATGCTGAGCAGTGGATTTTTTGGGTCACAGGGTAAATGAGAAGCTGCCTAGCTTGTCCCCAAGCAATGATGCCATTTTATGCTGCCATCAACAGTGGATAGGTGTTCTAGTTGCTGCATAGCCTGTCAGCTTTTGGTGTTGTCAGTCTCTTAGCTGTGCCTGTGGTTAGGAGGACATAGCTCCCTGTAGTTGTAATCTGCATTGCTCTGATGACTAAGAATGCTGGGCATCTTTTCACATACTTTATTGATCCTTGGTACATATTCCTCAGAAGCAGCTGTTAGGGTATCTTTTAAAAATCGGATTGTCTTTCTTTTTGCTGTTGATCCATAGCCATGTTTTAAGTTGAAACACTGGTGGAGTAAGTATTGTGATAATGGCGCTCAACATGTAATGATGTGAACAAAATACTTGCGTTGTGGCCCAGAGTGGTCTGAGGTTGAGCCATGGTGGTTGAGTACTTCCCTCCCCACAGTTTTTGAGGGTACCAGACTTCCTTTGGTCAATGGATGGCTTTTAAGATGCTAGAAGCGTTTATCTGCTGCCTCAGAAGGGCTGAGTGCACGAAGGAGATATTCTGGAGGTGTAGGAACCAGGTCACTTCTCACATTCCCTTGGCTAGAACTCCCTTACAGGCCACACCTAATTATAAGGGGACTGGGAGATGCCATCTGCCTGTGTCCAGGAAGCCAGCTCTACCACACTGTCTAAAGCGTACATTTCACATTGATGAAAATCTGTCCAGCCATTTTCTTATGATGTGACAATGGTCTGACAGATGCGATTGCCTTTAAAATAATGTGTCCTTTTTATATTCCATCATTCAGATAGTTTTTATTGTGATCTTTTACAGGATTTGGAGAGATTTAAATTTGGACCCTGTAGGAATACACTCTGTTGACTCCTCTTTGCTGAGCCCAATGCAGGATGCCAACCTGAGTGGATCCTTCTTTAGCACTAGGGTGTCTGAAAGTGAAAACAGTCTGCTTAGTGGGCGTTTGTCCCTGTGGACATACGGTACTTCTGATAAGTGGACTCGGAGCTCTAAACTTCAGTAGTTAGCATTGAATCATATGTTTTCATAGGCATGACCTGGATCCACCTAAAAACCTTCATCTGTCTTCATCTTGGAGGAAGAAAAGAGTCCTGCAGGTGTCCGCAGGCTCTTTGAAGAGAATTTAAATGGAAACTTCGGTGCTTACTGCTTAGAATGCATGGGCTCTTCATCTGGGACAGGTCACTATAACAAGTGGCCCCGATCCTGTCTGATTGCATCTGAGATTTTCACACCTTACCATTTATACAGTTAGTACTTAGAAGAAAAGAGAGTGAGTCTCTGCCAGTCAAAAGACCTTTAAAATACAAAGTCAGTGCATTGTCTGTGTATTCTAGCTCAGGAGGGTCTGCAGTTTATAGGGTAACAATGATAAAGGTGTTGATGTTACCCTGCCAGCATTTGAGACCCAGTAACTTAACTCTGTGTGCTTATGTTTTTATTTCTTATAGGAAATACCCTGGAGCAGAGTGGCTAATTCAAGAGCGTGAGAGCAGGGGAGACATTATAAAAGAGGAATCAAAGTCCTTTCATTTCTGCTTCTTGGCTAATATCTAAACTGTTCCATATATTTTTCCCCCCCTGGCAAAAAAAGGAGAGGCTGATTACAAAATGTAAAATAAGCAAATATTAACTCATGCTATTGTCTCCATTTTACTCTTAATTTTTTTAAGTACTGTGACTTAGAGCTCCTAATGCAAAGAGAAAAGGAGTCTTTTTCGTACATGTGGCAAGTATTCTTCATATTTGGAGTTGATCTCTGTAAATTCTCTCTCTATTCTCTGAAAGATAAGTATTAGGGTTACCACCCTTACTTAAGACAGTTTCAAAATGGAGAAAAAAACTCTCCTGCAATAGCTGTTATACTTTTTAAAGATCTTATTTTCCATAGGATTATTTTAACTTCTGAATTACTGAAAACTAGTAGCAATGTTTTGATTATTGATGGTTAGAGACATTGTAGTAGTAAAGTGACCGACTTGCAATTCACCAAGAAGCAATGAAAACCAATTAGCAACTATTGTAACATGTTTACTTTAGTATGAAATGATAGGACAGGACCTTGCTCAGAAAAGGAACATTTCTGCCTTGGATGAGGGGCAGGAGATATATTTAATTAGTCTATGTTTAAGGGCCTAGCTGTGCGAACTTCGAGTTTGACAGCTGTTCTCTTCCTTGTAAAACTGTTACTTTAATTTTCCTGGAATTAAAATTACTTACTGGTTCTCTTCACAGGAACCCCTGAAGTCACTTTTCATCATCTTCTGTCCCCAGACGGTTTTCTTTCCCTGTCCCCATATGGTTTAACACTTAAGGACAGGCAGTTGTTTGCTCGAGTGTTAGAAATTTTGTTTTTTGGTCTTGCCGTGTATGTCAGTGTTAGGGTGTTAGCCTAGGGCTGGTGAGAGTTGTCAAAACTGAACTGGAGTCTGTTATGGCTGTGCCTAGGTGTCCATACAGAGCCTCATGGAGTCATAGCTGGGACTTTTCAGAGATGGTTGGATCTAGAATGTGTAATGCTGGGATGGATTCATGGTATAATGCTAGGATCAAGGGCAAGAGGATTTAAAGTCTGAGTGCTACCCAT